CGGCAAGCATGGGTTGCTGGAGACCTGTTCTACCCCGGATCTTCACGGGTCTTTTTTTCATCCACATGACAACGATTGGACACAGGTTACCACAATGAATATCGCCCTCTTCAACAAATGTTCATTATGCTAATTCACAGTTAACACATTACATATTAAGAAGAAAGGAGAGAAATAGAGAAACGAACATTGCTAACTCAAACCTTTTTTCGTCGTTATATAATATTTATGTATTTACACCCTTGAAGATATTTTCGTTGACATGATTAGGAAAAGCTGAAGTTGTTGCTGGCATCAAATCAATGTTAACATCATGATGTATCGTTCATAATTAACAGTAATGTATGTGTATATTCGTCTCCGGTTGATTTGTAAAGATTATGTGTACCACATAATTTAATGACAATGACATCATTTATTGGTGAACCGTGGGTTTGACTAGAATACCATATTAACAACATTGTATTTGTCATGGTTGAAAGTCCCTCAATGGTCAATGGACAGTTTGCTGATGGTTAGGGTTTTTGTCATGAATCGCTACCGTACCCTTGTGTAATCATGTATCTTTATATTGAATAGTTCTATTGTCGTGAGCCGTGATTGGAAAGTCGTCGGTTGTATCAGCTTGTACCGAACACTAACCTCCACTAACAGCGACCGATACCGTAAATATTGCATATTGTTGTCTCTACATCGATTGAGTGATTTCGTGAGTTGGGCTTCGATATATCAGAGCTTGCCAAAATAATATGGAAGGAAAGACCTAAAGGACGGAGTTGGCAGATTTTAACACGATTATGGAAATCGATTACGGCTTTGGCGCTTATAAACCAATGGTTTTGCGAATGTATGATTCGAACCTATGATTAACTGTTCCTGGCACCAAGTGATCACGACCCACCTTAACCACTGGACCACTCGTGAAAACCATATGAGAGAAGCTTGTGTGGAGATGTATCCGAGACATTTTATTGTGAACAGAGGTTTGATAGATAATTTCATGTGTGAAATGCGTTCAACGGTACCGAATCAACATCAATACACGTACAGCTTTGTAGGCATATAGGAGGGTGTACAAGGGGAATGTGAAACCTAAAATTTGCATATCTCTCGTCATCAAAATGTAGCTACAACAACTCATGATCAAGGCCGGTGTTCGCCAATATATTCTTCAAGTAACTTAAAGGTTTATATCTTGAATTGAAAAGTTGCAAAAACGTCAATAGAATGTACATGTATACCATTAATATACCTGAAATGTTAGGTTCATGCCTCTATAAGCATACAGTATCAAAGATAGTCACCGAGTCATACGTAAAGGCTGGACGACCTAAAGTAACTATTTATTAAACGTACCTCGCAAAAAAAAGAAATCAATTGAGTAAACATTGCATTGCCTATTCTCAAGCCGTTTGTGAAATTTCCGATCAATGGCTATCTTCAGTATTGAAGCTGGCCACTCTGTCACTGAGATATTCATATGGGCAGATATCCAATATACGACTTCAATGTGGTTTCAAAGAATCATACATGGTCCAATATGTCCACAGCTAATGCCAGTGGTCATATGTTAGCACCATACGCTTGCGTATTACTAATAAAACTGAAATACTGTTGAAGGCAGCGTTAGACCCAACACACTCTTACAGTCATTGTCGTTTTCCAAATGCATTATCCCACATTGCTGAAGCACTTAACACAGAGCAGAACACGTACATGTATGCTTTGATCATTGAAAAGTTCTTTTGATGAACTTCTGACAAATTTTATCTCTCTTATGGAAGGTTCAAACATGAACGAGAGGCAAGCCGCATGTTTTGTTTGTTTATGTTTAACTGATCAGCGATATATGATGGCGGTCTGTAAAATGTCGAGTCTTGGCTAGACAATCCAGTGATGGACATCATAAGAATCGATCTACGCAATTGGGATAGGTCATGCCGCATGAGGAAAATTAGTATCTAAAAGGTTTTTGATTTGGTTAAATGTAAGAGGTTTTTGCAATAGATATCAAAATCCCGTGCATTAAGACTATGAGGAATTATATTCTAAGTAAAATACGTACTAGACATGGGATGATGGTCCCGGTACAATGCCGATAATCACTACGAACTTCTGATAACTCGACATAGTTCGATGACTCATAGCTCTTGAGGTTTCATTGTGTATGTGCTTTGCATTTATTTCTGAATGTGGTAATTTCCAATGTCAAATATGTTAATAATTCTACGTATCAAGCTACAAACTCAACACATTCGTGAACTTTTCCGGAAATTACATGTGAATGATCACAAGAGGTTTAAAATTCCAATCCTCATTCTCCTCACAATTCAATAACATTTTTTTGTCAAAAGAGACATGCTCTTGCATGCTCTCTGTAATTTGCAGTCGTGTGATAGTTATTCACTGATATTGGTGCAGAGAAAGCATACTGGACCTCAGCTGTAACTCTCCAAACTTGAAAGATGAACTGTACGTCAAAGATGATAATGTCCTCATATAAGCATCACGAATGCTTTGCAATATCTGACATCATGTACCCATGGTCTAACACTCTGACCACAATACCAGAGCATCGGTACGCCACGGCGCTCTTATACCACCCCTGCTATTGAAGGAATATTCATCACTGCAGACAGGCAAAATCAAGATGACATTTCCCAACTATCGGGAACACATTTTTCCAGACCAATCACCATTGGAGGGATTTATATGCAAAAATAATGTCTACTACGAAGAGGGAATCTTGAACTAATGTTCCTAGCACATTCATCGTAGGACGTGTGTTAGGAATGCGATCGTTTGTAATCTCATTAAATCGATCTGTTTGACGCCTTCAGGCAGCGATAGCAAGCTGTCTGTCCAGAGATATTAAAACCGGGCTAATCTCCTTTGTCCCTCACAACATGTAAATTCACAGCTAAGTTTTAGTGGTTTAATTACTATGAAATGTCGTTAAAGCCTTTGATTGCTCTTCTTGAAATTAGTATTTCTCGCCTGAAAACACGCTTGGGATGTTGTTATAGTGGAACGTCGATTGCCTTACTTGTGTTACAAGTTTTTTACCGTCCTCAAACGTTTAGGATTCATTTATGTAATGTCGTAATTTGGTTAGTTTATGATGGTTGTCGTTGAAAGCCGTCATTGTGATAACCTCTGACATTCTCCCGTGGATGGTTGAGGCACCTTTGCAAACTTGTGCACACTTAATTTGACACGAAGAAAATGAAAGATAAAGGTAACCACATAATGCTATAGCCATAATGAAGTTCTGCATGATTTATGGGGTTTCAGTGATGATTATTCCTTGCGGTATGATGTGCATGCTATTCCTTGTAACATTAATTTTACATATCCAATTTCATTCAGTTTAATGGTTCTCATACTATCCAGATTTGGGTTCTTCAGGACATGAAGTCGTGTGAGATTACCTTAGAGGACACATTTAGGAATCTTGTTAAGCTCTTGTAATGCCTACCCTTACATTTGTTAATGTCCAGATGAAACACATAGGATGAAACGCCATTTCCAACAGGCATCTTGTTTTATTGGAATAAAATGCTATTAAGAGATGCGTTGATGAAGAATGAGATGTCAATTCCACAAGTTTTTGCGTCTGTTCAATATTTGGAGTAGTGTTAGCTGTTGATGTCATTATAAGCATAATTTAATGTTGCACATTATACATTAGGTCACCAAAACTATAGGACCCGTATTAACTGATAGTACTGTTTAACAACTTATAAGTGCCATACAAAGATAGGGCATATTGGTAATGATGTACAGGGCATGATATATTTCAACATCAATAGGAAAACACAAAGATGTATGTTATCCTTTACGTCTTTTAGGTATACATCTATTTTGGGCGTTATTTTGATGACACATAAGGTTCTAGCATGCGAACGAACCACTGTCATATTTGGACTTTACGTGTGCACCTTCTCCGGAGCAGCACCAACATTACAGTCGTGAGTTTTGATTTTACGCCACTTGTAGCAATATTCCAGCGATGTTACGGCGGGGGGCACCACATATGGGCTTCATATGACGGACCAATGGAAGGAATCGAACCCGCGTCTTCGGGTTCATTAACCAACGCTTTAACAACTAGGCTTCTCCACCGCACCTTACAGAAATTCGTGAGTGCAGGTTTTTGAATTATTTCTTAACTTTTCCTTAGACGTTCATCCTGCTCAGAGATATTGATATAAATGCCCCGTAAAGCAACGTTTTCGTTATTTTGTTGATTCATGGAGTTGTTGATCATATGTTTGACTGTGTCAACAACAACAACAACAACAACAATATCAACAATAATAATAATAGCTGTCTGAACGACCATAAACATCGAGTTTATGTGCAGTGCGTTGTAAGGATCAGCAACCCTGCTTTCTGTTGCTGCTCGGGGTAAGTCACTTCCCACTCGGGATTACGCAATGAATTTAATGAGACTGTCCAATAAATTGTCAGTGGATTCCCAGCTTTGGCACAAACACAGTATCTTAAGCGACATGGTGGACTGGCTTGATCCATTTGTTACCGTCTGCGCCATGAACCAAATGAACCAATGCATTGTGTTAGCGTACTCACAAAAGGGAAATATGAATGTACGTGTTCCTAAATTAAATCAATGCTTATGTACATGAAATTAAATTAAACATCTCAACTCATCGTGTTATTTTACTTCCTAACACTGTGGTTGTTTTCAGTTAGCAAAATATACAAATACCATTACGGATACTAGCTTAAGCCAATAAGATATCATGCATAAAATATGTGTAACTTTAGCTAACTTTTAAATTGATTAACTTAAGTACTGCATACACACCATCAATATTCGATCACAACAGGCCACACGGTGGAAATTCAAAGAAATTGAAGACGACCAGTGTAAGACTATTGCTGCTGCTGCTGCTGCTGAAGACGGACATAATGTCGAAACATCAGACAGTTTAGGAGGCGCGCATGCAAGGGATGTGTGAGTCACGGCGGAGCCCCCTCTCACTCGAAAATCAATACGCCAAGACACTTCTTTATACTATCCTTTCACTCTACTGCGCAGGTCCGGAAGTGCTGGAACTTCCGATGTAACCACCGTAATAATCACTGGCAACTTGAAAACACCGTTTTAGTGGCTACAATAATGATAATTCATGCCAGATACAGAGTTTTAATGGACGCGTGTGCACTAATTGTGCTGCTATCTGCATTTGAAGTTGCCTTGAGTGCCAAGTCTGGATTATCAAACAAAGCTAAGCTGAGTATTGGTAAGATTATCGTGTAACGATTTTATTTATTAATTAGGTAATGTCTGTCAAGTTGGCACATTTGTATACGAAGCTGTCTGTGTATCGCCATAGAGGCTTAGGCGATTTCCTGCATATCTATCACTGTATTAAATTTAAGAATGCTGGTGAATGTTATTCAAAATTTATGTCTACCCAGAACCTACATATTTTATCAAAGCTACACTATTGTGACAGTGCTGAAGATCCGGGGTAGAATAGGTCTTCAGCAACCTATGCTTGTCGTTAAAGGCGACTATGCTTGTCGTAAGAGGCGACTAACGGGATCGGGTGGTCAGGCTCGCTGACTTGGTTGATGCATGCCATCGTATCCCAATTACGTGGATAGATGCTCATGATGTCAATCACTGGATTGCCTGGTCCCGACTCGAATATCTACATACCGCCGTCATAGAGATGGAATATTGCTGAGTGTGGCGTTAAACAACAAACAAACAAACAAACAAAGTTGTGAGAAAGAAATGATTACATTTCAATTTGTAAATATAAATTGTCAATGAAAGGGACTAACCAGCCTAGGTTTCCTTTGGAGTAAAGAGCACAATGGCTGTGGAAATTATCTGAATCTACCACTGAAAATCAGCGATGACACCAGGAGTTATAAGCAGTATAAGCATGTCCTTTCCTACCGGTAGCACCAGCCATTCATACATTTGCATTAAAAAGAAAGTATTTATTGCCTGACGCCGCACAGCAGTGCTCCTGCCAACCGACGCCAGCCTGTAAACAAACCAGACAATCCAGTGATCGATAAACCAGAAAATCAGGTGACATTACTCATTTTGTTGAAAGTAATAATAACCTCAATCATTCAGTACATGGGAAGAGTTTGAGTAATCTTCTGGGTAAGGCGTGTGCTTGTAACGCCGGGGATCCAGGATCGATGTGTAACGTCTACCTCCGTCACATTGGTAGAGTATTGCGAAAGGTTCTGTTAAATCGTATTCAATAATTCACTCAGACAGTCAGTCAATATCACTCACCCACCTAATACGGATCCACCCATCCATCCATTCATCCACCCACCCAGATTAAAACTCACCCACCCATTCACTCACACGCACTGGGCAGTAGGTTCGCCTACTGATTGCAGAGTTCACGCGTCACGCCAAAGCTCCAGGTTAAATTCACCACATGGTTACATTGTGTGAGCCCCATTTGTCACTGTCGACGTTGTAATTCTGGAATATTGCTAACTGTGTCAAAAACCACACTCACAAGATGAGGCAATAAACAGAAATATTCTTTTTCATAAAAAAAAGATGTCAAAATAATGGGAAAAATGTATGTCAATCTACAAATAAATAAGAACGACAAACTGTTTCCATAGTCATAAGAAATCATGAGCATGGGTTAATGAATCACTATCAAATAACAATGAAGCCAAGTGTTCGCTATAAGGTGAACTTACCGGTGGCACCAACCATAAACACGTGCAAAGGCATGTCAATTGTTCACCTGAAAAATAGAGTGAGCACCTGAAGATACGGTAGTCATAATAGGGAATTGCATCGGGCATCATGTTTGTCACAGACAAAAAGAAGGTCTTGTTTTGTATTGATTATATTCCTTTGTGTCCGCCCAGGCGTGCTGCTTGATGTCCGGTCTGTCCAGCTTCGGCCACTGCTGGAGACAAAGATGGGAGAAACGAAGGAGGGCAGCAGTCTCCTGTTCCAACCACACATCTCCACCGTCGACATCACCGACAGCTTTGCCGTCAGCAACGCCAGTGAGTAGAGGAAGCGGCTGTCACGCTGGTGTATGCTGGATCGATATTGAACAACATACATAGCATGATATTGTCACAAGTGATGGACGACCTGAACGCAAGCTACCAATGGAAACGTTTGCCATTTTTGGAGTTGTGCAAGGAATGAAAAACAAACAGACCCCCAAACCAACCCTTCTTATAATACCACACTAAATAAAAAAATAAAATAACATAATGATAATAAAATAAAAACGATACAAGAAAACAGACCAAATCCTTACAAGAAAGAAAGAATAAATGACAACACGTGATCACCGTTCAAACACCAATCCTTTCCCTACCCATATCCCCACCCTCACCCCTAGTTATACAAACACCCTACCAAACACTCACTCCAAAGACAAATGAAGAGGAAAATATTTTTGTAAATCTTTAAATGAGCACTATGAACAAACATTAACAAAACTTAGCACTAAATTTCTAAAAAAACATATAGCGTTCCCAATTCTTACTGAAAAAGCCACAAAATAAAGCCAAACTGCGTTGTATATCATATACAATTGCATAGATAGATAATTTTGTTATATTAAAGATAATCACTTTCTTGTATATACATAAACAATACCTTGAATAAAAGTCATAAGTTGTAATCAGCCATGATAGTGTACCCCGGATATAGCTTCCTAGCACCAGTGAATAACCCGTCTCGATTATGCGCCGAAACAGATTCCATTGGACGTGAAAGGCAACATTGCAACTTTATGTCCATATTTACTCTTAATCGACACTATTGTCTTATATTTGCACTCCGTTTGTCTCGAGAAACTGATATCTCGATGTATTTAACGGACTTCGAGCTCCACATTCCTCTGTACACGGGGCGGTGGGGTAGTCTAGTGGTAAAAGCGTTCGCCGAAGACCCGGGTTCGATTCCCGACATGGGTGCAATGTGTAAAGCCTATTTCTGGTGTTCCCCGCCGTGATATTACTGTGATATTGCTAAAAGCGGCGTAAAACCATAATCACTCACTCACTCCACTGTACACATGCTGAAAACAAAATACCGTAAAAACTGTCTAATATGACGTTGACATTCTGGCGCTATCGCATCCATGATCGGACATGGTGGCCTCCCTTAGAAACCTCGTTGTTTTAGCACCATACATTGTGACAGTACTCGCGGGTTTCATTAAGTGGTAAACGTCCACGAGTTTCCCCACTCACGTTTTCCTTCCAAATTAAACCGACACGCTGAATATAACTGAAATACTGGTCAAAGTAGCATAAAAACTCCTCCCTCACTCAGTATCAATGTAAACCCGAAAATTATTAATTAAAAGCGAAAAAAACCCTTTCCATATTCATAAGAAATCTCTGCCCAAATCCGGATATATCGTGAGCATGTGTTTATGAATCACTATCAAATAGTGATGATAACAGGTGTTCGCAAAAAGGTGAGCGTATTCTGGTCCACTAGTGGCACCCGTTGCAAACATACGAACTTAAAAGACAACCCTAAATGCAATCGCGTTTAAGGTAAAGCATAACGATCGAGATTTCACCTTACAAGCAGAAGAATACGGCTGTTCCTGGTGGAAATGAACATCACGGTCATAATCGAACAAAATTGGTACCACCTTGTACAAAAGCGAGGAGTATAAACATACACATTCAGACCCGTGATCCGGGTTAGAACAGGTCTTCGGGAACCAATGCTTATCGTAAGAGGCGACTGTGCTTGTCGCATAAGGCGACTAACGGGATCGGCTGGTCTGGCTCGCTGACTTGGTTTATGTATGTCATCGTATCCCAACTGCGTGGATCGATGCTCAATCACTGGATTGTCTTGTCCATACTCGATTGTTTACAGACCACCGTATATAAAGTTGGAATATTGCTGAGTTCGGCGTTAAACAAACAAACAAGCAAACAACATATATATTCATGTACATCAACGATCAAATGTTCGAACCACTGATTGAGAGGAATCAATACGTGGCCATCCATGCAGCCTATGTCCAATGAATCATCTTTTATCCCGACGGACTCGGTTGGGAATTCAGGTTAGAATAGGTCTTCAGCAAACTACGCTGCTCGTCATATCAATCACAGGTTTTCTTGTTTACTTCCTGGCCGCCGTCCTAAACCAGGAGTGAGTGAGGTTTACGCCTCTATTAGCAATATTCTCGGAATACCATGGTTAGAACATGTTATATTAAAGTGTGTGACTGGCGGGTGCTACCGATACCTTCAAATAATTTTCATGACTATTTTGCCTCCAACGCGAAATGGAATCTGTTTCGGTAGATAATCTAAACTGATTATTCTCTGGCGTTTTGAATTTACTGGTTATCTCGTCCGGCGTAATGGATTTTCGGAATAATGAGTAATGTCTTTTGTCTAATGAGGTTTCACCTTACTCGGTAATTGTTCGTTTTAGATTAACTGATCCGTGAAGATCCGGGGTAGAATTGGTCTTAAGCAACGCATGCTTGCCGTTAAAGGTGACTATGCTTGTCGTAAGGGGCGACTAACAGAATCAGGTGGTCAGGCTCGCTGACTTGGTTGATGCATGTCATCGTATCCCAATTGCGTGGATCGATGCTCATGACGTCAATCACTGGATTGACTGGTCCAGACTCGATTATTTACAGACCGCCGCCATATAGCTGGAATATAGCTGAGTGCGGCGTTAAACAACAACAACAAAAAATTAATTAGATAACTCTTTACTTTATATCAAGCACAAATAGATCACACAACTGCAAATTTCTAATTATTTATGATTGTATCATTGTAATGGCGTTCTCTAAGTATGACATTATATATCATGCCAATGGCATCATTAAAATATGTCGTTATCATGTAAACAGCATAATATAAATGGGTCATTATAAAGTCAATTGCATCATGTAAATGTCAATATTATGTCAATGGCACCATTCTAATGTGCCTTTTCTTTATAGTTCACCTTTTCCGCCTGATAATACGTTTGAAAAGAAAAGAAAAAGGCTGATTTTATTCATAACATTTACTTTTAACGGAGGTACAGTTTTCTGTTAATTGATTCCCTTTTTAGGATATCAAACTATATTCTTAGAATACTTTAATTAATGTTGTAATTACTTCAGCATCGTTTTGGACCTCCGATCAGACATTCATTGTGTATACATGTGTATATAGTACATGGTCGCATGTACACACATACATGAACTTAGACATACAGATCGATACTGAGCCAGGGCTGCGTATTAACATAACCGTTTATCGAGTTTCCTCCCTTTAGCTTTACGGAGTAACTTTAGGAAAAGGGTCATGTAGTCTCAATGATCAGTTGCACTGAAAATGAGAGATGTGGAAAATTAAAAAGAGAGCTTTATTGAACAAAATTTAGATTATTATTACGGCAGATAATGTGATGCATTCTCAAATAGCAGTTTTGAGTATTTTCACGAAATATTTACTGGTAGTTTGAAGTCGTAAAAATATGTGATGAGTATTTTGTATGTAGTAAAATATCGTTTCATTTGTTATGATATCAGGTTTGTTGTGGTTTTGTGCTTCGAGTATGTGTTTATCATCAAAGAGAGTAAGAGAGACCTACAGTGTATGTTTGTGATTATGTTGGCGTCCCATGGTGAGGCTCGATCTCGTGCATGGTAATTTAACGACACAAGAAGTAAATTACCTTGATTAGCCACTGGTGAAACATCGCTGTCAATATGCGCTATAACACGCATACATGTATATACCTGCTTGTAAATGTCGCCTCTTACACATGTAAAATCGTAGTTAAAAAACTTTTTAAACTTTCGCGAACGCTTGGTGTCATCACTAATTGATAGTGATTCATATACACTTGCACTGTGCTGTAGTCGGAATCAATGGACTAATGATTGTGATTGTTTTTCTGACATACGTTTTGTTTCATACAGACTTAGATTGATCATTTTGCTCTGTTATGTCCCATGTAATCATAATATTAATTATCCCCTTTCAACTTTTTTTCTGTGTCTGATCCTAGTCATGTCCCAGATGCCAGAGATTTCCAATGATTATGGAAATGGTTGTGTCGCTCTGGCAAAGGTGGAACTGTAAGTCAAAGTTATAAAAACATCCCTACACACTTGAATGTTGAACAATGTCTCAGGTTCGAATCCCGCCGTGTAAAGAAACATGATACACTAATGTCACAACCGTTGTGATAAGAAACTAGGTGGAGATTTAAACCATATGCAACTCTTCTCAAGTGTATTTGCGTTTATATGACGAAAATACTCAAATGTGTTTTATATTGTACCCCTGTAAATTATACATATGTAAGCAAATAAGAGGATGATAGATAATGCCTTTTAGAACGTGGTCAAAGGTGACATATGTTATATTTGGGATTACACGTTCTTCGTAAAATACAACTTCTAGAACCAGTACTAGTTATGTTTTATTTGGGATAACACTTTTTCAGCACCAGTACAAATTCAAGTACAAGTAATATTACATTAGTCATAAAACTTTCTTAGTAAAGTACAACTTCTAGTACTAGTTGTGTTATATTTGGGGTAACACTTTCTTAGTAAAGTACAAATTCTAATACTGGTTGTGTTACATTTGGTTAACACTTTTTTGGTTAAGTACAAATTCTAGTACTAGTACTAGAATTTTGTATTTTAACAAGAGAGTCTTATCCCAGGTATAACATAATGCTAAATAAGAGGTAGTAAACAGGCTATGCGACTACGACTACGCCTACGACAACCACCATCACCACCACCACCACCACCACTACCACTTCTACTACTATTACAACAACCACTGCCTGTTTTTGCCTGTTTATATGTGTAGTATCCTGATACATCCTGCTTTGAAAAACAGGATTTTTCAAAGTTTGGAAAGGTGATGATCATGAGCACCAACTATATGTATTCATCGAATACGTTTGCGAAATGAGGAAACCTATTTTCTTCCAACGACTGGTTGCACGAGTTGTATGTACAGTTGAGTGCATGACTACAATACGG